GTATCCTGGAGCCCCCACTGATTTCTTCCCCTATTACTCTTCTTCACTGCTTTGGGTTGGGTTTACTCTTTTGAACAATGAGAGAAGTATGAAGAAAAGGATGACCTGGATAGGTAGCTTGCAAGGTGAGCATGGGGTCAAAGGCAGAGGGCTGGCTCCCAGCCAACTGGAAATTAAAAAAGGAATTGAGGTGGCGACAAACCCGAAGCCAAGTTCCACACAGCCAAAATATTGGAGGAGAACACTGGCGAGATGATGAGGGCGTTTCAAGGTCACTCAGAGGCCCTGTGAGAATCCTGAGGGAATAAAGGGTATGCTAGCAATGAGTGTTTGTGGCAGGTGTGGTGTATGGCTAGGGCTGAGAATGGAATTCAGTGAAGAAAAACCAGGACTTAGTGGATAGTTTGTTGAGACAACATTGTGTTGAGAATAAAGGAGGAGAAAAGCAGGTTAGTTGGGTGACACCTGATCAAGGCAGCTTGTCGAAAACGGAAAGATCACATGCCATCTGGGGACATTTCCTAGGAAATGTGTTCGTAGAAAACTCAAACTTTAGTAGATAAATCGTTAGGAGAGCTTTCAGGGGAAGAGATGTGGGTCATGTTTACAGGGCTAATTAGATCATATAGAGTCGGGGCTTTGAGGTACACAGTTAACAATTTCCCTTCTTAGAGTTTTTATGTCACAGAAACAAAAGCATAAGAGACGAGAAAGGGTGAGGTTATAAGAGAGTGAAGAAAAAAAGGCATAATAGACAAATGATAAAGAAAAAATGTAGGAAAATAGAGACCTTTGTTGTGCAATCAGTGTGTAACAACTGCAATAGATCATTAGGAAGGAAGGCCCTGTTCCCAAGTCTCTCAGGCTCCCCCTACAATTGCTTAACTCTCTGTGTCTGAAATATGGAGGCAAAGTTATAACGAGAACAAGTTGTCAGAGACCCAGAAACATTCTTGTACTGGAATGCTTTTTTGCAATATACATGTGATGAGAGTCAGTTCTTTCTAGAAGGATAAACCTAGTCACATTTTCCCAACTGGGACCTGATAATTAGAGATACCCATTTCGTTATCCTTCTGTCTCATTTTCTCCACGTCGAGTAAGGTTCGTTTAAATAAAGCGTGCTTCACATAGGTTAGAGAGACTGATTACAAAGCCATTGGTGTAAGAAATAAAGATCGGAGATATTGTGACGTGTAGACGAAGTGATGGAAACGTATCATTTTCATTTCTAGGGTCCCAAACGATATGACATGAAGTCCTGAAAATGTGACCTGTGACAGTGACATAAGCCAATGCCTTGTGTGTCACAACCAGGAGTCCGTGATGATGAAGACAGGGAGAAATTGTGTTAGGGTGAATGATGATGTGATGTAAGATAGTTCTCCAGAGGTGAGTGCGTCGATAAGAAGGTAGAGACTTGAGACTCCACAGGTGTTTAAGTGTTTGGGAAAATACGGAGCCTTCCTTAAGCAAAGTAACACACATACCATGGTGCCTGATACTCAGTAGGTCTTCCTGTTTCTCCCTTTTGCTACTCCTAACTGGTGAACATGGGAAGAGAGAACGTGGGCTTATTTTTCCAACACTTTGACTGGACTGAAACCAGGTTTAGGTGAAGATACCACAGGGAAGTGAACTGCTGTCCATAGAAACAGGACATACCCTTTCAGGAATGGAGCAAGTGAATTAGTGTGTACTAGTTCTTGAACACCTATTTTGTTCCAGGAGTTTTATTATGCATCGGCGACTTCATTTTATGCTCACGGCAATCCAGTCTTGATCTTGAAAATGAGGAACGAGAGAATCAAAAGTGTAAAAATATGCCCAAAGTCACATAGCTGCTAATGAAGGAAAAGTTGAGGATTGTCTCTAACCCCAATTGCATGCTTTCTCAAACTAGCCGACCTTTGCAATCATCATGAAGGTCATTAAAGGGCAACTGGGATACAAGAGGTAGATGGTGCAGGAAGATTATCTGGCTGATGTGCTTTAGGGATGATGTAGAGATATCTCTTGTTCTCACCCCTATGTGCAGTTAAATAGAACAATAATAATATTCTCTTTCTTCTTGCAAAGATAATACAAGCTATTCAAACCAATGGACAAGTAAAGGAAGGAAAAAAAAGTCACCCAAATTCTGCTACCCAGAGGTAAGCAGGGTTAACATTTTTATTATATCTCTCTAATTTTTTTCTGTGCTTATATATTTATAAATACTATGTTTATCCAAATACATATTCTAAAAAATGATAAAAATGTACATACTTGATTTGCAAACTAATTTTCACTCATTCAAACAGATGGCATGTGAAAGAAGTTTTTCTACCTTAAAATTATTAAGACTGGGTATTAGAACAATATTTTGACAAACAAATCCATTTGCATTAATGGAAGTGTTACAATATTTATTAAAGTTATTGAGAGTGCCAGAGAAGTAAAACTGAGTGTTAATGCTATTGATGTCTACTAAAATAACATTTATTATGTGATGCATAATAACTTGCTCTCACACAAATTTGATGTCTATTTAATTAATAATTAATTAATATTAATATCAAAAGTACTGAAAGTGCTAGGTACAAAGTCTAACTGTATTTCCTTTGAAACTGGAATTTTTATAACCCCCCAGTCAGCAACAAAATCACCAGAGTAACTTCTTTTGTGACATTATGAGACCTCAAATTATGTTATCACCTTAGTTTGGCTGAAAGAAAAAATATTTGGAGAACACTAAGTGACTAGTCATCTTCTCCTCTAGGGTATTCTAAGGTCTATCCTTGGATCAAATAAGGTGTTTAGGCTAGCATGTATTTTTACTTCTTGAAACCCTTTACTGACATTAATGAGGATCCCTAGAAGAAACACATATGTGAAATATGCTCCCACATTTGCTATAGAAATGCTATTGAGGACGGTGTCTATCATACCACTTGATTACCCCTACTATTAAACTCCTTCAGAGAATTTGTTTTAGATTTCAGTGCCAGGAAATCATGTCTTACTGGTAGTCTGATATATAATTCTTCCTTCATCATAGTAACAGCAATTTGAATAATTGTGACTCCGAAACTTTCCATCACCAGTCAGGAAGCTTAGCGCCAAATTTGATGCCAAATCATATAAATTATGTTAACGATGTTACCATGTTGGCATTTTCCTTTTTCATAGTATTGTTTTCTATCTCCACTTTATTACCCTCATTATTATATTTGTATGTAAATGACAATTCTTCCTTATTTTCTCTCTTAACTTGGAAAGCTAAAGCAGATGTCTTTATGTTAAAGGAATGTAATATTATAAATACTGTGTTTTACCACCTTACTAATTTATTTTGTTCACTTTATTTTGCCGTGTATGTGTAATCTCAGAGGATTTTTCTCTTGATCCTTGGAATTTAGAAAGTGCATCAGGATGTAGCTAGGTGTGACTCTCTTTTCAATAGTCCTACCTCGCCATTAGTGAACTCTTGACCTGAAGACTAAAATCTCTCTTCAGCTCAGAGAAATTTTCTTCTTTTATCTCTTTGATGATTGTTTCCCCTTCATCTGATCTATCCTCTCACGAAGCTAACTTTGTCTTGCAATTAAAACATTTGTAAGATGGCCAACTCATCCTGGTTTGCCTGGGACTTTGCCAGGTTTAGTGCAAACCAGGACGGCCGGTTACCTTACACTTAGCTAAGTTATTGTGTCCCCGAAGATAATGGTTTTTATAGTGACAAGGGAGATTTTAATTTTCAATTTTGAATCCACTGTGGACTGATCTTTTGAAAATACTATACAAATAAATACGACAAAAGTCAAATTAAAAAATACAAGTCCAATTTAAAAAGTTATTTTTAGATTCAAAAGACATACATTCACTTTGTCAAAATGTTCCAAAGGTTTTAAATGCTTTCTCTCTGTTTCTGTAGGTAGCTTGTAAGATCTGGTGTCACCTTGTGGACCACATTTTGAGTAGCCCTGCTCTAGGATTTCTCTAATCTGCTCTGATAATCCCTTCCATCTCCTCCACTCCACATTCTGTTCTCTCCAGCCTGTGCTAAATGCCTCTTTTGTGTTAAAATACCCCATTACGTTAAGCTGTGCACTTCTTAAGGGAGACAGTTGGAATCTTATTTATCTTTCTACGCCCAGCACCCACCACACTGCCCGACAGGAAGTTTGTTCGGCTGCTGTATTCATTCTTTATTGAGATTGGAAGAAAGTTACAAAGTTCTAGTTATGATTTTTGGGGGGAGGATGAGATTGGGGGGCTTTCCTCGTACTTCTCAGTATTTCCTAAATTGTCTCGAACACACATGTATTACTTTTGAAACGGGAAAATTAAAGCATTATTTTAACAACTGATTTTATGGAATAAGTGATATCCACCCCGTGGTTTGCGGTCAGTAAAAAGTCCCCTTTCATAGTGTAGCTGAACTGTAGGACACAGGCCAACTTGTGGAAGAGAGAAAAAAACAATGCTAAATAATCCCTGTCTTCACTGAGAAACAGGATCCTATTCTCATGCTATTTGGATTTGGAGAATCATCAAGAGAATGGAATGACTAACTGGAGGCTACAGTCCAGAAAACATGGTACAAATTTTCCCTTAAAAATAGAAGATAGAAAGTGTTTCCTTTTCACACTGTGTCCCTTTTCAAGTGGCCTGTGATGTTATGAAGTTCAATAACCACTTCACGGGCATGATTCAGACGCTGGAATAACTGGATGTGATCATTTAAACTGTGAGTGATGGGGCCCTGACTTCCCTAATTAGACAATAGTGCTATTGGAACTGGCAGTTAATCAGTTTAAAAGTGACTTATCGGTAACGTACAATATGACTAATTTAGCAGCTAAGCAGTTTCATTGTGATCTTGGTGTCAGTGGAATTCCTGTCACCTATCCAACAGTTAAGTCATATTGCATAATTGTTGAGTGACATCACTGGGCTGCAAGATTATTGGCTGAAGAAATGAAAAAAAAGAAGAAAAAAAAAGGTTTCCTGGAGTGTCAGCCTTTCCGGCATCTGAACGAACGACTTACACTGGGACTGCAGTGCAGCTGGCGAGCGAAGTAAAAATGCGAGCTGAAGTGGCTGGCTTTTGGTGTGTCATTGAAAACCCCAGGCTGTAGCACCCGGGAAGATTCTCCAACACGCCTAATTATGAGGTCTCTTCCCTTTGTGTGGGACTTCACAGTGCCAGTCATTAAGGTAGGGGCTGAGGGCGCCGAGACAATGGCACTCTCTTGTAATGAGGGCATTTAATTTTTCTCAGAACTTTACAGTCTTCTCTGTGGGGAGAACAGTTTTAAAAATGCAGCTCACCATCTGCTATACACATAGACACCGAAAAGACGGTCAGCTGGGACCCGGTTGAAAACCTTTTATGGTTAAAAGCCTGGCTTATTTCCAAGGGAACTGGTAGTTCAGGTTAGTCACCACAGAACACATAAACTTTAAGTTTATTTAATTGTACAAAATATCAAGCTTTAAAACGACCCACAGAAATTCATAAAAACCGGAGCTATGGCTGATGGGGATTTATACCACTAATGGCTAGCGTTTATTGTTTACCGTGCATCAGCTTTATGCATACGAATTTATTTCATCTTATGAAGTAGCTACTATTATTATCCCCAATTTACAGATGAGGGAATGGAGACCCTGGGATCATACAACTGGTAAAGAGTAGAACAAGGCAGTACCCAGGTAGTTCAGCACTAGAACACATAGTCTTTCTTTTTTTTTTTTTCTTTCTTTCCTTCCTTCCTTCCATCCTCCCTCCCTCCCTCTCTCCCTCCCTCCCTCCCTCCCTTCCTTCCTTCCATTCTTTCACAGAGAGAGGGAGAGAGAGAAAGAGAACAAGCAGGGGGAGGGGCAGTGGGAGAGGGAGAAGCAGGCTTCCCACTGAGCAGGGAGCCTGATGCGGGACTCAAACCCAGGACTCTGGGATCATGACCTGAGCTGAAGGCTGAAGCTTAACTGACTGAGCCACCCAGGCACCACTAGAACACACAGTCTTAACCTTTGCCCTCCACTGCATCTTTTTAAATCATAACAACAACAACAACAACAACAACAACAACTACTATTTCCACCTACTGAATGCCTTTCATGTGACAGGCACTGTCCTATAACCATCGTATCCTCTCATCAACTCTGTGAGATACAGGCTGCCCTGTTATTACCCCCACTGATAGATTAGGAAAGTGAATCACAGAAAATAACTTACACAGACAGTAGGTAATGAAAAAAGGATTCAAACCCAGACGGTCCAGATCCAGACTCCATGATTTTAACCACCATGCAAGACTGCTTTTCGTAGTTAATATATATTGATTATCTATTAATGTGTAATCCTTACAACAATCCTGTGATACCCGTGATCTACAATAATACCTGCACTGTAGGAATTATTAATCCCAATTTATAGATGAGAAAACTGAGGCAATAAACCACTGGGTAACCTGCCAGCTTCTAAGTAGCAAGCAGAGCCAGAATTCTTCCAAGTCCATCGGACTCCACCATCCCACACCACCATGTGCAATTCTGATGCAGGGAGGCGAACATATGTCAGGTAAAGGGCTGGGATCTCAGGAGTCAGAGTGTGAGGAGTAATATCTTGGTCTGGGCTTCCCCAAAGGATGGGGCCTGCTTAAAGAGATGTCAGAAAGGTCCTGAGAGTCAGCAGGGCTCTGATGAAGGGGCATCCTGCCTTGAAAGCACACTCTCCACTTGTGGATTCTGGGTGATCTCCTGAATGTGGTCAGCCTCCCCTCTCTCCCTTAAATTCCTTTTCTCTTTTCCTTCTCCTCGATATTTCCACAACTGCACTTCCCTGCCCTCCTTTGGTCAGTACAGAACCTCGCACATGCTCAGTTCTCTTGCCTTGTAAGGGTTCCTTCCCCACCCCCAAGCCTCCTTTCCTTTTGTAGCACGTATTCAGTTCTGTGGAATGTGGCCACCCATAAGCATGATACACATTTTCAAAAGGCTTTAGAAATGAATGTGATTAGCGAACTTAATTTTGTTAAAGGGGAAATGCATCAACAGGGCACATGTGGAACCTATTACTTTTACAGTATCGGTGTCCTGCTTTCAAGGGTGTAATAATTTAAAAAAGCTGAAATCACAACAAAAAGCAAGCACAAACCAAAAAACAAACAGAAGATTGAAAAATAGCTTGAATATTACAGAAGTATTTACCTTCAAGTTTTCAAGAGTAAAGAGTTATTTTTAAACGTTATTCTAGTAAAGGAAATCAAATGTATCTGTTTGTTCATTTAAGAATATTTAGTGTGTAAAAATGAACGAATATTTATTTTGGGGAAGTAGAGATTAAAATATGTATGACACATCCTAATATACCTAAGTCTTTCAAGAACAAACTCAAATGCTGCAAGAGTGAAACAAATTGTAAAATAGTGTCGGTCCAATAAGGAAGTGAACTCTCCGGAGGGGATGATCAGAGGAACTTCTTGAAGGAGCAGATACTTGGCTAGAACTAGAAGAACTGATAGAATTAGGATAGGCTGATCTTAAACATTAAGGAAAGGATGGTCCATACAGGGAACTAGTGTGAGACAGAAAGACAAGATGAAGGTATAAGGCTGTGAATCCTTCTCAAAAGTACACAGCTATTAAGTAATATGAGAATCTTCAATAAAAATCTGCAGGGATGGCCAGTTATTTGTTCTGCTTTTATACCAAAGATTAAGACGTAATGGAAAAGTGTGTCTCATCCCAAAATTAGGAAAGGGAAAATCTTAACATTTTGATGTGCTATGAGCTGGCCATCCCCTGCATGCATGAATCTCCCTTTAGTGAAGATAGTAGAAGACTCGGCATTCTAAACAGCTCAACAGCATCCAGCATCCAGCTCATCTAAACCTCTCAGTGGACAGGGAGTCTACTGCTGGGTCACTTGATCTTCTTAGCGACCTCAGGTCATTCACCCTGATCTGAGATCATATTCCTGAAAAATGATAAGGTCCTTCAATTCGGAGAGTGAGTGAATAATGAATGCATTGGGAACCTCTCTCAAGTGATTTTTATGGTCTTAGTCAGTGTCTGGGGGTGACTTTATTATAGCTGAGACTGCCTTAAGGTAAATAAGTTTGTTTTGGTTCTTTAATCACTAAGTGCTTTGGGATATGGTCCAGAGGTGGTTCATTCATTCATTCATTCATCCATCCATTTAGACATTGAATAAGTACCTACTGTGTTTGTCAGCCTCTAAGATGGCGCCCAGGGATTCCTCCCTCCTGGTATGCATGCTCTATCTAGTGCCCTTCCACATTTACCAGGGTAACTATGTGTGACCATCAGCAAAAGTGATGGTATGTCACTTGTGAGGTAGATTACTGAAAAAAAATTGTGACTTCTGCCTTACTTTTTCTCTTAGATCACTTGCTCTGGAGGAAGCCATCTGCTATGTCATGAGGACAGTTTAGTGACCTATGAAGAGGCCCATGTGGTGAAACTGAGGCCCCCTGCCAACAGCTGGACCAGAACTGAGGCCTTTTGTCAAGAGTTATGTGAGTAAGCCATCCTGGAAGCAGATTCAACAGCCCTAGTCAAGCCTTTGGATGACACAGCCCTGCCTGACACCTTGATTTGAGCCTTAGGAGACCCTGAGACAGAACCTATTCTTCTAGGCTGCTTCTTGGACTTCTGACCCTCAGAAATTGTACTAGAGGATACATGTTTATTGCTTTAAGTTACTTTAATTTTAAGTCACTTTAATTTTTTTTTTCACATTGCAATAAACAACTAATATGTCTACCATTTATTTGTTACTGTGACTGATGCTGGCAATGAAGAGAGCTTGATCTGACCCTCTAGAAGCTAACAGTACCCAGAAAAGCAACAACTGATATATAAGCACCTACGTACAACAGAGTACAACAGATGCTATAAGGGAGATCCCTTACAAAATGCCATAGGAGGCAGGAGATAACAGTTAACTCCATTTGGAGAGAAAAGGGTCCCCAAAAAGAAAAATAGACATCTGGAAATTAATCTCCAAGAAAAATCAGGACTTTTCCAGCGAAGAAGAGGGAATAGCAAATGCAAAGATCCAGAAATGAGAAACCATTGCATGTCTTAGGGAATGTGTTCTATATAGTTACAGCCAAGGATTCACATAAGGATTCCTTGCTAGGGAAGATGGATTTCTTCTAAGATATGAGAAGCCCTTGATTGACAGGGTTTAAGCAGAAGATTGACATGATCAGATATATGTTTTAGACAGACAACTATTGTAAGTTTCACCAGAAAGGCCTAATAGGACTAAAAGCGGGAAGAAATGGAGGTCATATAGAAAACTCTTGCTGTTCTTCTCAGCAGCTACTCCTGTTAGAGACTAGTGAGCTTCTGATGTGACTGTATCACTCATATTTTTTTATTAATCCTTTAATTAAGATATATATTTTTATAAGGGCACCTGAGTGGCTCAGTTGGTTAAGCATCTGTCTTAGGCTCAGGTCATGGTCCCAGAGTCCTGGGATCGAGCCCCACATCGGGCTCTCTGCTCAGCGGGGAGCCTTCTTCTCCCTCTGCCTCTGCCCCTCTCCCTGCTTGTACTCTCTGTCAAATAAATAAATAAAATCTTTAAAAAAAAAGTGTTCCCAAAACTCATTTTTAAAAAAGAGATATATTTTTATAATAATTTTTATTTTTTGTTTTCATTTTGAAATTTGGTTTACCAAAAGTTTACAAAACTAGTACAAGGAATTCCTATATACTGTTCACCCAGCTTCCCCAAATGTTAACATCTTACATAACCACAGTACAATTATTAAAATCAGGACATTAACATAGCACTTTAAACTAGTCTACTAAACTTATTCAAATTTCACCAGTTGTCTGGTTAATATGCTTTATTCTGGTCCAAGATCACATTTTGTTCTTTTTGTCTCCTTAATCTCCTTTAATCTGGAACAATTTCTCAACCCGTCTTTGTCTTTCATGACCTTGATACTACTGAAGAGTACTACCCAGTTATTTTGTAGAATGTTCATCAACTTGGGTTTAGTTTATCTGATATTTCCCCGTGATTAAATTTAAGTTATGCATTTTTGGCAAGAATACTACAGAAATGATCTTATGTGTCCTCAGTTCATCATATTGGAAGTCACATGATATGTCTCATTATTGTGATGTTAATTTTGATAACTTGGTCAAGGTCGTGTTTGCTAAGTTATTTGATTCCCTTTGTAATTAGTAAGTATCTTATAAGAAGATACTTTGAGACTATGCACACTTTCTGTTTTGTTTTTTTAATCTAACTTTTGCCCAGGAATTTTAATATCCATTAATGCCTGAAATAATGATTACTTTGGTGCTTGCCAGATGGTGACAGTCAAGAGATTTTGAATTGTGTTGTGTGGTCATTTTAAAACATGTACACAAGTTCTTTGACACTCCATTGTTCAAGACAGGAAGCCTAATTCTCCTCTCCTTTATTTTAGGCTACATTCAGTGCCTCTCTTCTAATGAATAGAATGTCAGAAGTGACTTCAAAGACCAGGTCAGAAAGGGCATTGTGATTTCCTCTCTGCCCCTCTATTAGATCCCTCACTTTGGGAGAAGTTGGCTGCCATGCATGAAGACACTGGAGCAGCCCTATGGAGGCTAGCATTAACTTGCAGGGCGTTTAAGTGAGCTACCTTAGAAGTGAATCCTCTGGGCCTGGGGAAGCCTTCAGACTGCAGCTCTGGTAAACACCTTGACTGCAACCTTGTAAGAACCCCTGAGCCAGAACCACCCAACTAAGGCACTCCAGGATTCCTGACCTACACTAATGAGTGTGAAAGATAAATAAATATTTATGGTTTTAAGCCACTAGTTTTTGGTATAATTTGCTCCACAGCAATAGATAATGAATTCATGCTGGTAAGTAGAAATGAAATCATGAGAAAAATGTTAAGGAAGAGCAAATGGTAGGAAAGAAAGTGTACCCAAAAGAGGGGGAGTAGGAATGCATGTTAAAATGATAATGAGATCCTACTTCTCACCCGATAAGCTAAAATTAAGAAGTCTGATAGTACCAGGTATAAGGAATTCTCAGGGGCGCCTGGGTGGCTCAGTCGGTTAAGCGTCTGCCTTTGGCTCAGGTCATGATCCCAAGGTCCTGGGATCGAGCCCCGCATCAGGCTTCCTGCTCAGCGGGGAGCCTGCTTCTCCTTCTCCCACTCCCCCTGCTTGTGTTCCTACTCTCGCTGTCTCTCTCTCTCAGTCAAATAAATAAATAAAATATTTAAAAAACAATAAAAAATAAACCTGTAAAAAAAAAAATTCTCAAACACTGCTGGTCAGATTGTAAATTGGTGGTCATTTCAGAAAGCAGTTTGACATTATCTAATAAAGGTGAAGATACACATACCACCAGATAAGTTATCAGAATCCTACTCCTAGACACACATGCAACAGAAATAGGTACACATGGACGTCAAGAGACACGTACATGAAATGTTCACGGCAGTATTACTCATAATATCCTGAAACTGGAAACAAACCAAGTATCCATCAACGGTAGAATGTGTAAGCAAACTGTGGAACATTCATTCACTAGAGTGCTGTATATAAATAAAAACTAACCAACTGCAGCTACAAGCAATAATGTGGATGAATCTTTTTTTTTTAAGAATGTAGGAATTGTGGCTGGACAGAGGCCACGGGTAGGGTCTTTTGGAAGTGTTTACAATATATCACTTCTTTCTGTTTTTCCTTTAGAAATCATTGCTATTGTGGTGTAACTCAAGTGCAATAAAATTATTGTAATATTGTATGTATGTATAATATATACATATGCAATGTATAATGTGTGTATTAGTCACATAAATGTTGACTTTATAATAATTCATTAAACTATTCATTTGTATTCTATGCACTGTATGTGTCTTGTTTTACAGTTTAAAAAGTTACAAATGGAGTTTGCATACAGGTGAGGATCTTGGGAATCAGACTGGATCAAAGGTGAACATGAACTGGCAATTAAGGTTCTGTTAAAAAGAAATTAACACACGCTGGGAAATAAGAATAAAGGAAGCACACAGTAGACAAGAAGCTATCCTCCCAGCTCATATGTGGAAACATCACTGAGCGGACCAGGGGCATATCCTGACAGCCAAGGCAGGTCTTAAACCTGGGCAGTATGCCTTATGAGCTTTTTACCTTGAGAGCAGAAAGCAGCTGGGCCCAAGAGAAGGTAGGCTTGATGCTATCAAAATTATGATGAAGATGAAGCCTTCAACATCTTATCCCATCTGTGTCTCTGCTTCTGTTTCACTTCTCCACACCTTCTTCGGATACTCAACAGCCTGTGTATTTATCTCCCTTCCTTCTAGTCATACCCATATCGGAAGTCAAGGCAAGTCTAAAGGCCAGCTTTGTTGACTCTTGGTCTAGTCAGTGGTATCACACTGGTGGAAGGTATTTGAAACTTAATCTAAATCTCTGACTATGAATGAAAGGTTTTGTGGCCTTTGGTGAAATTTCTGTCACCAGTGACTGGTTGTATGAGGTATATTTTGGGTGAAGTAGGCCTTCCTGCCCCAGACGTGGCACCCTGTAAAATCTGGTATGGTACGCCCTGGGGAGAAGGTGTCAGGTAACTTTAAAAAAAATCACCCCAGGTGATTCAGATATGACAACCTGTATCCTGTATGACAATATGCCTTCTTTCCACGCCCCATCCCTCACTGAGAACCACCCGTTTACAGGAAGGCCATTCACTGAGCAGACATAATATCTGTCCATTCATCCATTCATTCATTCATTAAACAACTATTTCTTCTTTGTTTTTTTGTTTGTTTGTTTTTTTATGGCTGAGCCACCCAGGCGCCCCTAAACAACTATTTCTTGAGTTCTAACTATGTGTCTGGCCCTGGGCTGGCACTGGTGATTCAGGGTTGAACAAAAACAGGCATGGGCCCTGCCTTCTTAGAATGGTTTGGTGTACAAATTAATGAAACCAAGGAGATAAGTGTAAAATCACCAGTCAGGTAAGTGTTATAAATCCGGGTTTACTCACCAAGAAGAGAGCTAAATGAACAGTAGCTTAATAATCAGGATTTTTTGGGGTGCCTGGGTGTCTCAGTCATTAAGCGTCTGCCTTCAGCTCAGGTCATGATCTCAGGGTCCTGGGATCGAGCCCGCATCGGGCTCCCTGCTCGGCGGGAGGCCTGCTTCTCCCTCTCCCACTCCCACTCCCCCTGCTTGTAGTCCCTCTCTTGCTGTGTCTCTCTCTGTCAAATAAATAAAATCTTTAAAAAAAAAATAATAATCAGGATTTTTCAAATATAAGATGAGGAAATTATATGGAGGAAAATGACTAGTTATTTTATGTTAAGAAAAGACCTAAAAAAAGACATCAAAAAGGAGGTTTGCTCTGTAACAACTAAAACTGATGAAGATCATTATTATTCTTTTAAAAGATTATTTATTTATTTATTTGACAGAGAGAGAGAGAGAGAGAGCACAAGCTGCGGGAGCTACAGGCAGAGGGAGAGGGAGAAGCAGGCTCCCCGAGGAGCAGGGAGCCCGATGCGGGGCTCGATCCCAGGACCCGGGATCATGACCTGAGCCGAAGGCAGACGCTTAACCCACTGAGCCACCCAGGTGCCCCAAGATCATTATTATTGATATTTAAGAATCTTGTTCATCTGTTCCAGTTGTTCTCTCAAACTGTTTTGGAAAATATTAGGCTATAAAATAAATGTAAAATTAATGTCCCAAGAAAACCACAGGAGATTTGCTGTAGCATAAAGAATTTAACATAATAT